CTCCCTTCTTCCATTAAACTGATCCAAGTCCAAACAGCAAATCTGTCTATCCTTACATATTAACCTAAACCTAGTATTCAGTCCTTTTGATCTTCTTATAACTTCGTCCCCACAATTCATTCTCGACAGTATCTCTGACACAATTAAGTTATAGCCCTTTTCTTTAAATGCCTTTTCAACCTCTTGTACTTATCAGTTAGCTCCTCTGACTTACCTTTCCCTACATAATTAACCTCCTATGTGCATACAAAAAATGCATCATTATATATTATTATATCTCTTGCTTTGTCAGTTACATCCTCCACCCGAACTCCTGGGAAGCATAGTCTAATTCTTTTCTCCCTATTTACTTCAAGGAACGGAATTCGCTCAAGAAACTTAAAAATTCTAATTTGGTATTTCACAAAGTGGATAAACATAAAATATGGGTAATTATGACCCAACATTTTAATAATCAGATAATTTATGAACATTTAGATGATATCAATGTCTACCAAAAAATGGTAAGTTTAAACTGAGAGACATGAATTTCATAAAAGACACATTAAGGAATTTTGTTGATAAATTTAAGGTGATAGTAACAGAAAAAGAAAAAGATTTTATTTTAATCAATTCAGAAATTATGTACTTTTTTGTACTTTCTAGGATTCATACACCAAAAAAGATTAATATATTCAGTTGTTGGAAACAACAGCTGAATATATTAAATTGGAAAACCTCCCAATATTTCGGGAAGACTGATTGTAGGAGGTAAACACAAATTACTGAATATTTAAGTGACCTTTTGGTTATATTGTTAAAACCTTTTTTATCTCATATTCTGAGTCTTATTAGTGATGATTTTGAATATGTGGAAAGATTTCCAAAGAAATTAGAAGAAAATCAGAGTTTTAGTTCTTTAAACGTGGTGGATTTGTATCCATGCATTGAACATCATTATGGACATAAAGCTGTAGAACGTTTTCTAGATAAATACAAAGTAATTTATCCCAGGTTAAATAAAGGTTTTATCTTAAAAGGTTTAAATATAGTTTTAAAACATTGTGGTTGTTTTTTTACTTATCAGGAACACATCTTTCATCAAATTTAGGATAAAACAATGAGATCAAAGGTTGCTCCAACTTATGCTAATATCACTCACTAAGAGATTTTTCGAATTACCATTATATAATATACTACCTAATTACTTTGAAGAGAATTTTGTAGTTCACGTAAAAACGTTTAAAAATAATTTTAGACAATTGTTTTGTAAAAGATAGATATTCATGATATTAATAAGTTTTTGGGATTTTAAATTCAAGGAAATTAAGTTTACCTTCAAAAGAAATAATAAAGCCATGTCCTTTATAAATGTGTTGGTAAGTATTTCCCCAGAAAAGGAAATTGTAACTGACATTTCTTGTAAACCCCAAAACTCACATCAACATGTAGATATTTTATAAATCACCCAAACATATAAATTTAAATGTTCCTATAGATCGTGCAGGTAGATTATATTGTTTGGTTCCAATGAAAGAAACGATAGTTAACAGATAATTAGAACTAAAAAAAATCATTGTTCAGTGTCACTATCCGGGATAATTTATATTAAGAGAATTGGAAATACTAAAAATAATTTTTGAATAAAAAAATTTAACAGAGATTAGTAAACCTAAAGAAATTATATATTTTGTAGTGGCTCATTGTTCAAATATACGTATTAATGTTTCATTTGTTAATACCTAAATGAAACCAATAGTAGATAAAAAAAACTGAAAGATCTATTCACAGATAATAAAATTATTTTATCAAAAGGCAACCTAAACATTTGTATAGATTATTAAATAAGCCTAACGAAAGAGATTTTTCTAAAGAAGGTATTTTCAGTTGTGAAAGAAAGAATTGTGATTTATGTAATTTAGTTTACAAAAAAAAACTGCTAAAAATCAAGAATATTATAGAAATTATGTTTTCATGAATAACTCATTTAGTTGCAATTCTAAGAACGTAACATATATTTTAGAACGCGTAAATTGTGTTGAATTCTACATTGATTAAAACTGATAATTTAAGATTAAGAATACATCTACATAAATTCGTGTTAGATGTCCAGAAAAAATTTTAAAGGATGTATTTTGAAAAAAAAAAATTCTAAAAGATCCACATTTTCCCTTTATGAGCATGTAATGTAAAACATAAAGGATTATATTTCGAAAAATATTTCATAATTAGATAGAAGTAAGAGGAAAGTAGTATCTGGTTATGCAAAGTCAGTAAAAATTGTAAAACCGTGAAACTATTACTAAGACTAACAGAAAAAACAATAACGTAAGAGGTATGCAATTATGGAATAAATAAATAAATTGCATTTCTATAATAACAAGAGGAAGTATAATTAGAATACGATTTTAATTTTAAAAGTAAAGTATATTGGATAGACTTTAACTAATTATATTTACTTTTGAGCATTTTTAACATACTTAATTTATACATCGAGTGTATTATGTAGTCGTACATTTGGAAAATATATATTACATTTAGATTATTTATGCTTAGTTGAAAACCGGTATTTGAATGTTTCTGTTAGAGATTCTCAGTAAAATTATATCCTGAAGAGTGGGTGGCCTTTGAAGTCACGAAACCGGTTGAAGAAATTAATTTTGTTTGTAGTTATGCACAAAGATACACAATGGGCTATGTGTGCTCTACCAACCACGGGTATCGAAACCCGGTTTCTAGCGTTGTAAGTTCGCAGACATACCGCTGTGCCACTGGGGACGAAGAAATTAATAAAGGAGAAAAATATAGAATAGTCTGATATTCCAGTGTTTTGTTACTCGTATCTACATATGAATATTATTTAGGTTTTGGTTATGTATATATTTATGAAAAACTGGGGGGAAGGGGGTGCTACCAGCAAAGACTTCCAGTCTCACAATTCTGTCATTAAACATATATCTTATAGAAAAAAATTTAAAATGCTTAAGGGAAAGTAGAAATCTTGATATACGCTTTGAGATTTAGTGATTACAAATCATATAAAATTAACACGCAATATTTTAAGCTTATATGTGAAGTTCTGCGGAGGTATTTCATCAACACACTAACGAAGAATAAGACTTGTTCTAGTTGTATCTAAAATTTTCGTGCAAACCTCACCTGCACATAGCCGTCCCTAATTATGAACTTGAGTGAGCTAAATTTGATAGACTAGAGGGGAGAAATCTAGTCAACAGCACTCACCGACAAATCTTGAGCTAATCTTGTTTGACCAAATAGTGGAATTTGACTGTCGCTCTTATATCTCAATTACAAAGGCAAACTGCGTAGTGCGTTGCAAAAGGTCATGAACCCTTAGCTATCAAGTTCAAAGTCCAGACATGATATTAGTATGTAAACACACACACGTTTTACCTCATTCGAAATGCTAATGGGAGATAATACATATAAAAAGGGCTTTGCCGGTACTTGGTATGATGAATGAAGTGTGATTGATATTATTACATAATCTCATTTGCCTTCGCTCTTGAACAGTAGTCATATTCTCACTGAAGCTAAAACTTCAAGTGCACGGTCATTAACTAGAGCTCAGCAACAAATTGTACAGAAAAATTATCTATATACCGTATTGGCACGGATTATAAGGCGATGTTTTTTATTAATAATCAGACTGTAAAAGTCATAGTCGCCTTATAATCGCGGCCGACCACAGGCCCCTTTCCCCTACTCTAGCCTGTCGCATTCCTGAATGTCCAGACAGCATCCGTCTATGCATGTGCGCCAGATGTTCTCTCAAGATCATCGCAAGTTCTTACAACTAATCCACATGCAGGGTGTTCAGTTATAGTATTGATTTTACGGACCTAAAAAAGGAAGTTCTGACACTCAATTGTTTTTCTCTCGCATGGTTTCTGAAAGTGAGGGTGCCTTATATTCGAGATCGCCCTATAATCGGGCCAATACGGTAATTAGGAAAATAAATCTTGTTAATGTAATACTTACTAGCTGTACGAAGAGTTTGCTTATCTAGTTGAGGATATGGACAAAGTTGAGATTAATATTGTTTTAATATTCACGTAGTTGTAATTGTTGTGGTAAACACCCCGTTACTAGAGTTACTTTATGCAAGGTGATCCAAAAACAAGAAAGTAAAGCAGGCTAAATGAGTTTATGAACGAAACATTAAACTATTTTAATTTGAATTGTCTAGCATTAACAGTTTTAAATATCTGCCAAATCATGCTTTTCGTCAACAGACATTTTCACCGTGTCAGAATATTACATTTCGTGAATTAGCAACATGTTTTTAATAAAAGGAAATTAAAACTTTTTAAAATTAACAAGATAGATATTTTGTGTATTGAATTATTTAGTATTAGCAATTACTTAAGTGTGTTTTGAGACATTTCAAATGATTAATGACATATTATACCGATTTCTTGTCTTAAGTCTAATGTTGAGTTTGTCAGTTACATTCTTAAGTTACAATGCCAGAAATCGGGTTTCGATACTCGTGGTGGGCAGAGCAAAATAGCCCATTGTGTAGATTTGTGCTTACTTACAAACAAACAACACATTCTTATAATGTGGATTAAAATCTGTTCGTTTTATCAAGTACAAATATTTTATCATACAAATATTTTATTATGTACAATCGTTATAAATTTCATTTCAGTTTGCAATGCAGATATATATAAATACATATATATATTCAAATAAAACTCTTATTTAATCAATTCATAAACCATTATTTACCATGTCGCCAGTCGTTCGTCTCACAGTACGAGTAGCTTTCATTTCGTAATTATAAGGATTATTACATAAAACGTAAGAGATGAAACTAGCATGGATTCCTCATATTGAAAGACAACTTATGTATATTTCGCAAAGTTCTCATTACTTATGGCAACAGCTAATATAGATGTACTTCTAGTCCAAAGTTTATTGACGATTAGTTCAACTGTGATGACTATTATCAAATACCAAATTTTGTGATCTGAAATTACTGTTATTTGTGTATTTTATCGATGGCATACAAACTGCTTGACTTTCTTCCGACACACGTCACACTTCACCTCACAGCACCAGTGAAATTTACAATTGCAACTGGATTCAACATGGAGAACTTTCTTTCTCACGCGCAGCCCACATTGACGACATAAGTTCTTACAGCTTCTTCTTTCCTCTCTGGGCACATGTTTACCTTTCCTTCTGGAACACTCTCTCCCCTCCGTCCCATGGGATCCTGCAGTGTCGTTGGTGTAGCAATACTCTGGTGAACTCTCTATGTAGACGAGATGTTTTTTGGGAAAATTCGAAGGGCCTGTATCTATGTTGCGACGCTCTTTTCCGTAGTTGAGCCTGTTGTACTCATAATCTACTTGCTGTGCTTTATTATAGGCTTGTTTTAAACGATCTCCAATTACATTGAAGTCGGCCAATCTCATCCAACACGTTTGTGTGGCACAACTTCCTGAAACTCCATGGCATTTGCAAATTCGTTTCATCGTGTTTCTCACAACCTATAATTAGATATTATTAGAGTACTTAAGTAAATATACCGCCATCTACTGGATTTTAAAAACATAAATTAGTGAAACTGTTAATAAGAAATGAGGATATCATGAACCACGATAGTTGTTCATAATAGGATTCGCCCAAGTATTTCACAAAAATTATAATAGAACATACGGGCAAAAGCCATCTTAAAAATAAGCAGACGTGTTCTTGAAACAACACTCAAGACCTTCTATCTCAATGGTTAAGGCTGCTAACATATTGATAATAGCAAAAAAAATTTTCCCGATTGTTAGACAAAATTCAAAATTCATCCATTTGTTCTTCATATTATTATTATTATTCGTATTATTCTTGTTTTACAAGCCTACAGAAAAACCGGCTACGAACATTTTACTCAGACTTATACAATAGTAATGAATGCAGTATTTATTATGTTACAGGGTAGTTTTAAAATCAATTCAAGCGCCTTTGTTTTTTTTTCACCCTAAAGAATTTATACTAATGCGGGTTAATTGGAAAATAATCTATGCAACTTATAGCGCATTAATTGGAAACTTCCACGTTGAGGATTCATCATTTCTCGAGTTCGCTGTTATACTTTGTCTCTACGAGGTTTTTTGCGTCTATTTCAACGAGTTTGCTAACAGTAGACGATTAGATTACTATAGTAGATTTCTCTACTCCTGTGAGTGGGAAAAAAAGCCAATGCAGTAGTAAAGTGTTGAAAAATATGTAAAATTGTAATACATAATTAAAAACAACGTTTCCTATTGACACAATTTAAAACTTTATTGAAGCCATAGATCTTCCACTTTAAAAGTTTCGACGTGATCTACGTCATCTTCAGGAGTTACTTCCAAGACATACTTTATACTTTTACCCCTTGTCGCATTACTTCACGTATTATTTGCATATTTCCTTGGTCTTCTTTATTTATTTGTAATATATCTCGCCATATATCAACATATTGACTTGCTGATCTTTCGGTTCTATTTAGTACTTCTTTCTGTTTATTTCTAATGTTTCTCTAATATTTAATGCTATAATACTGTGAGGCTTAGCTAAAATTAAAGTTTTTTCCCATAATATTGAATGTTGGGTAGTTGTTACATGTTCGGCTGTAGCTGAGGTTTCTATTTTATTATTTCTTACATAACTTTTGTGTTCTTGCAATCTGTATTATAAATTTCTTTTAGTTTGACCAATATAAATATTACTAAATTCATATTCTATTTTGTAAATATTCGTTTTATCTTTTAATTCTATTTTATCTTTAGTATTTCCTATCACGTCTTTTATCTTATTTATTGGTTTGACGATAGGATAAAAATTCTGATACTTTTTGAATACTTTATATAATTGACTTGATAAACCTGGAACATAAAGTAAACTTAAAGTTTCTTTTTCATAAATATATTTTAATGTAATATTTTAAACTATATTTACACCTTTGTTAAATTTCTTAAATGCTTTGTCTACTATATTATGTTCAAATCTTCTATCAATAACTATATATACTTAATTAATAACAATTAGTTATTTAAATCTTCCTATCTTGAACATATTTTAAAGTTCCAAAAAGGTATGTGTAAAATGCAGATTTTTTGTGTTTTTATATGACATAATTCTTTGTGTGGCGGCATAACAACAGCAAATGGTTTTCTATAAACTGATGTTTCTAAGTTTCCTTCTGTTTCTTTTCTAACTAGTACGTCTAAAATTAATACTGATATTTTCTTCAATTTCACACGTGAATTGAATTTATGGTTCTTTAATATTTAAGTAACTAAAATGGTTAAGTACTGTAGACATGTAGTCAAAAATATATAAATGTGACATTATTTCAGACTAGTTTGTTAGACATTATTTCAGACTAGCTGTTCACTTTTTTTTAGAGTTTCTAGATGTAGGCTTGAAAATATAATTTTTGTATTTTGATTCAACTTGTTACTGTACTTTTTTGACAATTCCTATTCCCTTTTTAAATTAACAATTTTTAATTAACTTGTAAATATAATAATAACAAGATATGTGTAGAAAATACTACCTGCGTGTATTTCTCTGTACTACGAAAATTTCTAGACAGTTTTCTAGAATAAACGCATAACTTTAAGACACTAAAACAGATCTAATACTTTATACAACTGCTGATAACCGAATATTCCAGAACAAGAGATAAATACCTTTCGGCCAATATCATTGTTATGAAGATTTACTAAAGCCTTTACATCGTGGCCCCTTTCACGAGTATCCAAAAACCCTTTGGACACTTGCTCTCCAAACCGCACATTGTCACTGCAACCACCCCAGGTCCATCCATTAGCGCCTGCTCAAAACAGGAGAAAAAAATACAAATTTTTTCATTACATGTGAATCACTTTGAACATTATTTTATTAAGTCACAAAGCTCATCAACAGAGTGCATAGAAGGATAGCGCTACAAATCACAAACAACTGTATATGTATCCACACCGAAGTTTCCGCAGTGACTGTTATATCTTTATACTATATTTTATTAACCACAAAGCAACACAATGGGCTAGCCGATTTTTAGCATTATAGGCCTTCAGTCTTACGATGAGCTGTTGTGGCCCTTTATACCATGAGCAGAGTGATAATAAATTGGTGAATTTCCGAACACCTTAAGTAATAACTCTTGAAACCAAACCATGAGTTTTTCGTCTCATTTTTCTAGGACTTGGTAAAAAATCTCAGTATAAATAGCAAAATGTTGTCCATTCCTACACTGTATGCAGATGCAGTCCATAAAAACCTCACATTAACTCTAACCAACCTTGTCTAAAACACTTTTGAGACACGAAACTTACAAATTTATTTCTCGTATTGTGTGTGTATATATATATATATATATATATATATAAATCATTATTAAACGACAAAAACTTAGTATAAGCACTTAGCTGACGAATTGAGGTACAAATTGTTACTAATATTAAAGTTACTTCAGATTGCTTCACTAAGGCACAGTTAGGCCTCTGTAAGCCTTATCTGAGCCCATTCTGGATATTTTATTTATTTATTGTATTCTAACAAAAATGATATTTCTAGTAATAATACTGTTATTTAAACATTGCTTGAACACATCATTAAAAATATTACAAAATAATAGGTTTACATAATGGATGTTTAATATACTTATTCATTCATCAAAAAAAGCAATTTGACATCAATAAGCTAAATAAAAAAACAGTAAGAAAGCAAATGGATAAGTTCAAACGGTTTTCGAACATATTTCTTAAAAGTTTTGACGACAATTTGTTTGTAGCCATAAATGAGCAGATCTTGAAAGGTTTGGTTTGTTTCGAATTTTGCGTAAAGCTACACGAGGGTTAACTGCGCTAGCAGTCCGTAATCTAGCAGTGAAAGACTAGAGGAAAGGTAGATAGTCATCATCACCCACCGCATACTCTTTGGCTACTCTTTTACCAACGAATAGTGGGATTGACCGTCACATTATAACGCCCCCACGGCTGAAAGGGCAAGCATGTTTGGTAGGACGGGAATTCGAACCCGCAGATTGCGATTCGAGCGCCCTAACCACCTGGCCATGCCGGGCTCAACCTAAAAAGGAAGAACGTGAGTTGATTGTATAATTGTCGGAACGATTTCAAAAACGAAAACTTTATGGATTTTACGGAAAATATTCGTCATCCTTTTCACTGGAAGCAATACATAGTTTAATGATTATTAAATTACAATATCGTGCATCTAATTCTATACATGTTATATATAATATTACAAAAAATTGGAAGAGTAGAACAGCTTTCTTTTCAGTTACATAAACTTTAGCTATTCCCTCTTATGATAAGTATAACTAACGCATTAAAGATAAGTTCTTAGCCCTCTTATTACCAAAGCCACTGTTGTAAACTACGAAAAATGAAGCGTTGTCTTCATCTTATTCCCTTATCCCTATTCAGCTGGGATACTGAAAAAAAATTTAAAATTGTGGACGTCTTCATTAGATAGATAGATATTAAAGTTTGCTCTCTGCAAATGGAAATCATTTTATTTCAGTAGTTATGCAATGCGTTAACATATACGACAGGCGGTCGGGAAACTGAAAGCGTTCGCATCAGTTGCTAAGTTTAAATTGGTGACCGGTAATTTCATCATGTAAAAAAATTATGAATATTAAAAGCGACATATATTAAAAAATCAACTTTTAAAATTACATTTATTAAAAATTATCAAACATGATGCAGCTTATGAGATATTTATATTAAATTTATTACTATTGCTACAAAAATAAGTATAAAGATATGAAAAAATACCTGCAAGTTATTCTTAGATATAATCCAGATAGCAAAATTAACATTTTACGAGCAATAGCTAATAACCTGCATCACTTTTAATAATCTTTAATAAATGTCATTTTAACGATGATTTTTTTAATATAAGTCACTTTTAATATTCATATTTTTTCATTTTTTTTTACATAAGAAGTGAAATTAATGGGAGTCAAATTATCGGGAGTGAAATTACTGGGAGTCAAATTACCGGGAGTGAAATTACCTAAAACCGTTTAAATTTAAACAACTTCTATAGTAATCACCTTATGGTAAATATTTTTTTACCAGAATTCACACAATGATTATAACTATTAAGTATTTAGTAAGAATATGAAACCAATGAAGTTTTCATATTTTCCAGTAAAAATTTGTTCAAACTAGCCCTGCAGATGCTGAAATAATCTGTCACCAGCTAGAACTAATTCAAACAACAAATAATGAAGTTTTCATATTTTCCAGTAACAATTTGTTCAAACTAGTCCTGCAGATGCTGAGAAAATTTGTTACTAGTTGGAACTAATTCAAACAACAAATAATGTTTTCATATTTTCCAATAACAGTTTCTTTAAACTAGTCCTGCAGATGCTGAGTAAATTTGTTACTAGTTGGAACTAATTCAAGCAACAAACAATGAGCTCCATCATCATTAATGTGTTGTTGCAACTCACCTATCGTTCCCTTTTTACTATTATCACAATGACAGTTTTCATAATGTCCAAGGCTGCAATTCCTTGTCACAGTGTGCACGATGGCTGCGCTGATGATAGCATGCACAAACGCCATCTCTTGGTTAGCTGGAATACAAATAAAACAATTAATGTTTCAGCAAACTATATTTTAAAATGTCTTCTTTAGTTACGCTGTGTTCTCAATTTCAAATTAATTTACACGTGTTAATGATATCTGTAATTAGAGAATTTCGTTTATTTACAAATTAATATTTAAAAAAATCAATTGCACAAGTCCAAATCTCGAAATATGTTGAATATGCATTCAGTGCTACTAAGGCTATCTGCCACCGTCCCTAACTTTGAACTACTGATATGACAGAAGGTAGTCAGTCAGCAGCATCCTACCACCCAGTATCCACGGTACGGGATTGACTGTCACTGCTATAACGCACCCACAGCTCAAAGCATGGACAGTATTGTGAGGTATCGCCTATTTGCCAGCTTCGAAATCTAGTGCTGTAACAGAGAGCCAGTATGATATTGTTTGGCATATTCATATTGAAAGAAAACAGTATTGCAGATAGATCACTATAAAATTAGCTATCATATCTATCCAACACACAAAAGAAAAGCTTGAACTCTTTCTAATATTGGAAAATTTTCATTAGTAGAGTTCTTTAAAGAGGATCGTCATCTTGATTTGTACTTTGAACTTCATATTGACACCATTGTGTCGTTCATTTCACATCTGCATTTTCCATTCTTATCTAGTTATTAACTGGCAAAGGTGTGTTCTAACTATAAGAATAGTAAAATATGTTGTAAAAATTGAATATTCCTGTCATATTTACGGTATTTGGACTTCAGCTGTTTGCACGATCTGGCAATGAAGATTGTGTTGTAACTATAACAATTGTAAATTTTGGGGTTAAAACTGATTCTTTTTCATATTTACGATACTACACATAAAATCACGTAACAGAAGTTAAGTCAGTGCAAAAAAGAAATTAAACTGTTCAGTTATCAAAAAGTTTTGGCGACACAAGGTCTCTGGAAAAGAGAAGAACACTTTATCTTTTATTTCATTAAATGACCTTTCTAAATAAATATGATATGAGGCTAATATAAAATCAAAATATTTTTATTATTTTATATGAAAAGGGGAAAAATTTAAGCTGGTCAAGTAATTTTCGTTTAAATTTTAAGGATTTCTTATTAATTAATTTTCAACAACTCTTTCTTTGTTTCATAGTAAAGTCACATTGAGCTGCCCACCAGTGGCACAGCGGTATGTCTGTAGACTTACAACGTTAGAAACCGGATATCGATACCCATGGTGAGCAGAGCACAGATAGCCGATTGTGTAGCTTTGTCTTAAACTACAAACAAAACATATTGAGCTATCTGCCGTGTCCAACGCGGAGAATTGAACCCCGGATTTTAGCTTTGTAAAAGTCCGTAAAGTTGCCGCTGTTACATCTGAGAACACAACTCATTCGTAGGTAGTAATGTAGTTTATTGTTTGTTTGTTTTGAATTTCGCGCAAAGCTACACGAGGGCTATTTGCGCTACCCGTCCCTAATTTAGCAGCATAAGACTAGAGGGAAGGCATCTAGTCATCACTACCCACCGCCAACTCTTGGGCTACTCTTTTACCAACGAATAGTGGGATTGACCGTCACATATAACGCCCCCACGGCTGATAGGGCGAGCGTGTTTGATGGGACGGGGATTCAAACCCGCGACCCGCAGATTGCAATTAGTTTGATGGTAATCCACGAAGTGTTAACAACTATAAACGGATTTTAACGGAAATTGTTATTTGGGTTTGTAGTGCTTTTTAAAATCCCATTGTAGTTATGAAGATACAGTAAAAAATAGAACAAATATTTTTTTAGAGACTTAGTTCAGTACTTAAGAACTAGTTAACTAAAGAAAACATCAAAATACTTTATGAACATTGGATACTGATACGATACAAATGACGTTTTTTGAAGCTAATCTCGCATAGCATAGGTTTTGAATAGCATCCTACAACATATAGAGAATGTTTCAATCTTATTTATTTTCTCCGAAATATATGTTATTTAGGACAAGTAATATGTATATTACGGTTATTATTATTTTCGACGAACCAACTGATGAACAGGTTAGTGAACTAGTTTAATCACATAAACTCAGCTGTAAACTTATGTTATTGTAAAATCGCCAGTCCTGTGTTTGTTTGTTGTTAAACCACACAATGCGCTATCTGTATTGCGCTCACCACGGGTATCGAAACCCGATCTTTAGCGTTATGGTTCTTCAGACTTTCCGCTGAGCCACTAAGGGGTTCACCAGTCCTTATCAAAATATGTTAAACCTTCCCAATAAAAAATCACAGTTTCTTTGCCAAACTTAATCTAATAAGGATTAGTAACAAAAATGATAATGTTGTAGTTTGTTTTTATGAAGGAGAGAAAAACAATTTTGGCGTAAAATACTAAAAAAAAAATTGTAAGTAAAATTTGAGACTTCAAAATTAACTAATTATTGTCAGTAAATCGTTAAATTTATGTTTTCAAACCTTTACTTATTGAAAAGTGTTATTTTATCAAGGTCAGACAAATCACTAACATACCTGGTTGAGTGTCACTTTTGTCAAAGAGGGTAAAGGCGTTTCTAGGACAGTTCCAGCGATCCCATACAAATTGTTTCTGGCATTCTTCCATTCCTATTTGTGCACCAATAGCCACACTCTCTGAGAAAACCAGGCTTGCCTGCATGTGGAACAAACACGATTGTTTTGAAGAATCTAAAGGTTAAAGTTGACCTTTTCTCACGGGTTTTAACAAATCTACCTGCTGTTTGGCTACTCATCTAAGCTCTTGAGAAAATGTACATTTTAGATTTTTCCATTGACAGCAATCAGTTTGGTTTAATAGTACTTTTGAGGGTGATGAACACATGGTAGGGTGGAACAAGAAGATTAAGTTTAAGCAGGAAAAGGACTCTTGTGGGTAACGTACGCGTGTTGCGTTTACTTTATCTTATAAGAAGATAAAGAAAGATCACCAGAGAGAACAAGAAGAGCTAGGCTTACAAAAGAAGCATGTCTTATTGGTATAAAAGTTGTAAATCAGTTTTCTGTTACGGGAAGCATGAAAGTCTTCAAAACAACAACATTTGAATAAGAAAAATAAAGACGTCGGTCCGATTCTCCAAAAAACAAAAATCGTGCGAAGCCTAATATAAACTTATTATTAAACTTTATAGTCAGGCGAGTTGGGTATGCCGAAGTAACTATCTTGTAATGATTTTTGAAATTGCAACTTTGAAACTTACGTAATATAGTAAGTGAAACGAACACCTATGTATTTATACGGTTTAGAACACAGTGGCAAAGCAAAGTATATTATGATTTATTGATTTAAAAAAAAAGCTTAAGTTTAAAATACACCTGATTGTCTTCTGAAAGCTCTAGCTAGCAACAATTAGAATTGTCTGAATTTATATGCCTGGCTATTTTCTAAAAGTAATGATCAGAAGGAAATCTAAGTTTTTAATGTGCATTCGAAAATCCCTGTCTATCAACTAAAGATCTGTTGATAGACTGAATGTATAATATGCCTAACTATTTCATAAAAACACCACCCAGTAATGACAAGGTAACATGAGATTATAGAATAGCTAATTTCTAAAAATCAACATCACGTCATGATCATAGGATAACCTAATTATTTCTGTTATGTCTGAATATTTTATCAAATTATTCTTTAGTAATGAACAAAAAAAATATTCAAAGTTATAAATGCCTGAAAATTTCTATAATTACCATTCAATAGTATATCATCACTGTATACGAATATATATCAACATTAATAACGAAAACAGTGAATATAATTTCAAAATAGATTTTGAACCTGAGTGAAAAATTATTGACAATTTTAGATTAAGTTCTCTCTAGAATTGTTATCAATGCCACTAAACAACGTTTTTGAAGCAGTTTTCATCAAGTGTTTGTGCTTACTGAAAAATAAATAAAAATAGTCGCGCATCTGGAGCAAACATTATATCAGTTATAAAATTATGTAACTGAAAGACAAACTAGTGTCAGTACATGTTTTTGATAAGGCTAAGAAACGCTGCTTTAAAATGAAAAGTAAAACCATTTTTAGGTTTAATAACGAAAAAAAAACTATAACCACTGAAAATAGATTTAATATATAATTAATCAGGATAAACCAAGAAATGCCTACAATATGTAGGTTTCTAAATCAATGATTTTAGTATTAATCTATATGAAAACATGTTTAATCAATTAACAAATTATACGAGCATTAAACTTACCAAAAAGGATTCCTTATTATTATAAGTGGAACATGGTGGTCTCGAGGGACCTTAACGAGACGGATTATGAACAGTGAAGTTGAGACTTTATAGGCTCCGAAAGGATTAAAACCTCAAACGAGGCCGTAAATTTAAGAAGTGCATAAGGCCTTATCAGTATCACAAAGCTTAGTTTGGACTATATTGGCCCAGGAGGCCAGTTTCAATAACAAGGGATGTGTCTAATCAGACAAGTGCCTACATAATTTGTGCCATAGAAAATCCTTGGAGAGTTATTGATTTTTCTATAAGTCGGCAAAAATACTGTGGTATAATTTTGATAAATGCTGAGTTATACCATCTGGATAACGATAGGTGTCGCTAAACTTTCAAAATTCACCTGAATAGCGTTGTTTAATTTAAGGATAGATGTTTTCTTTTAAGATTCCATAGAGAATTTTTAAAGTTGGACATCACTTAAATCAATAATGATAAGTAGAAAACAGTTATTATTATGTACAGAACATGTTCTAATGGGATTTTTCAATGGGCCATATGACCTGTGCCCACCTCAGGAATCAAACGCTGAGTGATATATATGTTAAAATGTTCTTGAAACTCACACTCTTAGTTTTGAATCGAATTGTAACTTTTGAAACATCATATAAAACCTGCTGATTATTTATAAAAAAAACAACCTATACAATGAAATGGAAATATAAAGCTAAATTTAACTATTACATAAAATGTGAATACATTAATGATGTTAGAAAAATACGTACATTCAAGAAATCAATTTAACATAAAAATACGATACCCTATAAAATGTGAAGTAATTCTTACAGAGTTATTTGTCTAAACTATAGTCTAAGAAATGATAAGAGTACTTATAAAGATATTAGGAGTCAGTTTACGTTCCTATGGGTAACATTTTCATCAAGAGTCATTTTGAAAGATCGTTCCTAAATTCCTTTTTTTTTTCGTAATTTATTACGGTCATGTTTCAAACGCTGGGCCCAAAGTTATAAACAAAAATGTGAACTCGTTGTGTGTATAAATTTTTATAATTTGTACTCAAACAACAAAAGAAATCATTTGAAACATTTACAGTAACAAGTAAGTGCTGTAAATTTCCAACTATCAACTAAATATCATTAATCTATTAAAATATCTCCCGAAACACATCAGCAAAATGTTCATTCACTCAAAGACAACTGTCAATGGAACGATAACTTACATTTGAGGTGGTCCTTAGCAAGGAACACAAAAATATTTGGTATTTCCAACCTTATGCAACACATTGGCTAGACAGAGACCCCGAAGGTCCAGTTATAGCGGAAAGCAACCAACCAGTAAACCCGCCGCCTACAAGGCCATTTTTAACCAAATAGTGGGATTGACTGTTACTTTATAAAACACCCACAGCTAAAAACTTTATTACTTTTCGAAGCATTTTGAGAATTTTCTAATAGTTCATTATGTAAACTATTGGTTTTGTACCAGCTTGCGTAGTTGTAACGAAACAAAAACATTACATAAATCAGAATGTTTCATTGAATTGGGAAATTTAATTATTTCATAAGCGAATGACAACAAGTGACTATGTTTCTGTAATAACAAATAAAGCAAGGTATATTATTTTACCTTTGTTCCGGCCAGGAGAAGGTTGCTGAGGGACCTAAAAATATATAATGAAATATTTAGCTGAAATTCTGTAATAAGTAATCTCGTTATTGCTCTTTACATAAATGTTCGTTAAATCAGTTCATATCATCCACGAATATTTGTATTGGAGCTTCATACTTTACGATAACAGAAATATAGATAGCAGCGCACTAATAAAACAAATTTTAGACATTACATAGAAACTAACTATTTAATTAAAGCTATGGGTAGAGAGATTTACATTTTGACTGTCTGATAAACCCTTTTTCGATATTTCTAAGCAAATTAATTGAAGAGCCTAACTTGGAATAAATCTATGAAACATAAAATTTGACACGCATTATACTATTTCCAAAATTCTTCGCTAGTAATGATCAGGGAGGCCTAACTTTATATGTCTGACTAATTTCTAAGATACCTTTTTATTAACGATCAGAGAAGTTTGAATTAATAATATGACTATCCATTTTATGCGTCTTCTATCCAATAATGATCAGATATCATTCTGAATTTAAGTATAATCAGAAGGTAGTTTCAGTTTATAATAAGCCTATTTTTCAAATTCTTTATGAAACAGTAACCAGAGGACAGTCTGAAATTTTATGTCTGAGTAGTTTATAAATAATCAGTAATTTTTGAAAATTGTTATTATATACCCAACTCATCCCAAGTTGACTTACCTTCTTATTCTTATTGAGTTATCTGTGTGATAATGCTATGATAACTAAAACACAACATGTGGAAAAGCAGGGATCTATTTTTATAGAACAAAGGGACAAAAACGTATAAAAAAGCAGAAAAACCTATTTGTTTTCGGTTGTAACAAATGCAACATCCAAATAAGTTTAAGTGCATTTAGTTGTTGTTTGTTTGTTTTGTTTTTTTAAGTTAACCACAAAGCTACACAATGGACTATCTGTGCTCTGCCCACTACGGGTATCGAAACCCGGTTTCTAGCGTTGTAGGTCCGCAGACATACCGCTGTGCCACTGAGGGGCAAGAAAATTAAAATAGGTTACTTCTGTAAAATATTGTTACATGTTTACATGACCAATCATTTAGCTTATAAAAAATAAACCCTTGGCCTTCTCTCTCTCTTTCTATATGTATATATATATACACCTCAAATATGAATATTATTTACGTGGAAATTCAAAAATTATCAGTGTAATCAAGGTGATATTTTATGACGCAAAAAACTGATAAAGATACTGTTCCTACTTTTAGACCTTGTATTGTATTCAACAACATGTGCCGGGGATTCTGCGTTAATAAAAGTTTAGTAAGTTATTAGTTAGATAAACAGAAGAGACAAACTTACCATGATCTGGCATCAACAACAAAACGCGTTAATAGAAGTGTTAACAAAACAAAGAGTTTCATAGTTGCAAGGCGGAAATGAATTCGATCTCGAACAATATAAGACTTAGCTCTTAAAAACAAACACACAAAACTTGTTGAAATTATTCAGACATCAATTCAACTTATTCATTTCCTTTTGATGGGGTTTTTTGTAGAAAGCAAAGAGAATTGTATTGTAAAGATATGCCTCTTTGAGTAAGTTCTGTTGATTCTTCTCCGCCACTTGATTTTTATACCCCCCTTCTCGATCCACAACTGACCAATAGAGCAAAGAGGACATCCCCCATAAAGAGTCCGACCCCTTGTGACACAAGTTTATTGCCGCTGAAGCCCTGGGGCACATCGCCAGGCTAGTGTGAGAAAACGGGAAGGAATGTCTTATTTCAACGATCCCCTGTTCACTATAGCGATTAGTAGACGATCAACGCTGCCGAAAGGACTGCGGCTTTGTTCTACCTGGTTTGTACTCTTGTCCCCATTATGTCCCTCTCCACACAGCGGAATACGGCTACTTATGAGGGAAAGACCGCCGGCTACCTGGGTGGGTGTCGGACTGCTCCCTTCTCTTTACCGCCCTACAGCATCGAAGCCGAAACAAGCGAATGACTATTTGCATGCCTCTATTCTGTAAACCAAGCGATGTCAGGACCATGTCAAAGAATCCTGATCATTGTAAATTGGCGCTAATATGCAAACTATACCTTTATTTTTCCTAATGAAAAATTACTTTTGCACAATAACTTGGAAGGTAATCATCGAAATATAGGATACTGGATTCCAAATGGTTATGTTGATCACCCAAGGTACATACATATGTATCCATTTTATATTTCATATTCTTTCTGGCCTGTTTTCGTAAACGTGTACATGTGTGTGACTGTAAAACCTAACTTATTGTTATCTGTAAAATCCGTCACGTTTCCTCTTCAATCCATATTATATTTCATCTTCTATCTTATCTGCTTTGTCTAAAATCGTACAATTATACAAGTACATGTGGGTTTGTTTGTGTGAATATAAAATCTAATTTATTATTATTTATAACAACCGTCACATTTTCTCTTCCCCAATGACCTTCTTGCCTTAGGTCATCAATTGGTATCGTCGCTGTTAGCGGTGTTTTCACCGCCACCTTATATGCAGTGCTCCCTCCAGTTGCGAAAACGCCACTAAAAGGCAAATATTTTGTTTTGAATTTCGCGCAAAGCTAATAGACGGCTATCTGCACTAGCCGTACCAAATTTAGCAATGACAGACTAGAGTGAAGGAAGCTAGTTAACACCACCCACCGCCAACTCTTGGATTACTCTTTTACCAATGAATAGTGCGATTGGCCGTCACATATAACGCCCCCCAGGGCTGAAAGGGCATGATCGGTGACGGGGATTCGAACCTGCAATCCGCAGATTACGAGTCGAGCACCCTATCCAACTGTCAATGCCAGGCTAAGGAAATTTTTACCAATGATCTCTTTGTTTTCAGATATTTATCATCATCTTTGTTCTATCATGTGCCAACTGGGCAAATAATTCTTACTATCTTACAAGAATTAACAATCCTTTTGAGCATACATTTTTCGCCCACGATCTTCAAGGTTGGTCTAAGACAGCAAAATATTAACTGTAATGTTTACACAATTTAGTTTGCATGATTTTAAAAACTGTTTTCAGAATTCAACAAAAGTAGAAATATATCATCCAGTGTAAATACATACATGACAATGTGCGGCAAATTTGTTTTTGAAATAAAAAACTAGCAAATGCTTTGAGTTGATCCTAATGTTTTTTGTTTTCACAGACAAAACTTTAAACGAATTTAGTTAAGAGTTAACAAATGATAATAATAACAATATGATATTAATAAATAGTGTTAAAAATTCCTTTCCCTAGTTCTGATGTGTAGTGACTTAAATAAAATTGATAAAAAACACACCTTACTGATATAATCCAGTTAACATCAAAACAGTTGTTGTTGTTCAAAAGAAGTTTAATTATACAAGTGGTGTCTCAACCACCACTATTATGTGTCATGTCATAGCCGGCTTGAAGAGCTCTAAAACTGGACGAAAGGCCTTATCGGCACTAGATATGGACGATATGGTGATGTAGATGATTTTTGCTTTTAGACATAATTTCTTACGTACAATAATGAATAATGAGCATGGAAACGTTAACAACATGAAGAAACATTAGCGCTAGTAATATTTTATCGTCACAATAGTAAAAAAAGTATATACAGTTAAATGACATTTTCATTATTTCTAAAACTGATTTATACCATTAAAAAAAATTATTTATTTATTTTTCCTATTTTATTAAACTTCCAAAACAAAAGAGGAGAAATACTGCAGTAAATGATCATCTTAGAACTGGTATTTTCAATGTAAAGTTATAAGATAATCACGACTCTCTTACCATATCTCGCAAGGAAATAAAAATATTTTAGATTATGTTCTGGTTGTAGGGGTTATTTAAGACCACACACGTATTACTCGGTTTAAAAGGGTACTGAAGCATACATCAATGTTTCACTGGTTGAACGATTTTTTCTCAGGAAGAAAGTACACATATTGACGACCCCACATTGGAAAGTTTCAGAAGGCCCTCTCCCCCTAGGAAACCTATTTATTCTAAATGACAGTTAACTAATCATTCTGTATGCCTCCATTTTCCTAATTTGCATTGATGATTACATTACCACCCCTCAAAAGCGCTCTTGTCTTCTCACTTTTTTTTTACTTTGTTTTATTGCTAGATTGTCTAGCGTTTATTAATATTTTCTATTTGCAACTATAAATGAAAGACTTAAAGACTTTTAAATTTCCCGTGAAAACTTACCGAGAACAGCAACAAACAGAATACAGAATATTTTACATGCCTTGTTTTGAACTGTCCTTTAAATGTTTTTTTTTAGTTTTAATAAATCCATGCAACCAAACCTGAGAACCTACAAACCCTCTTAATCCCCATTTAACGATCTCCAATATCAGATTTCAGAAACAGTGAACGTAGGTATTTGCTTTGAACGAAATTTTATGTGCTCGTGTCCCCAAAATCACTTTGACCACCAAATGGGGCCTTCAATTTTAACATTTCCAAAATCTAAATTTAGATTATTGTTTCGAATGACTTATTGATTCAACTAAATCTTTTCGATCAAACTTCAGATTCCCTGAAACCACCTGATATCCCACTTCTGAGACTCCTCATGACTTTAGAAAATTCGTTCTTCATTTATATTCTATGGAGGTCAAGAACCTACACACAATATTTCAGTTTGTTTCGTCAAAATTGTGGGGGATGAGGGGGGTGAAAACCAAGTAAATGTAGATGTGAGCAGTTGAGTAATCGTAAATGAAGACGAAAAATAGACTTCATATCCTCTGGAGCGTCATTTGATCTAAAAAAGATATAGTCAAACATAAAAATGAAGAAACGTCAGCCTTCTTTCCTTTATCTATACCTTACTAACATTCATCTTCTTAACACCTAATTCCCCAGAAAAGGCACCCTTGTTTGTCCGATATTGGAAAAATGTAATTAATCGCGATTTGTGTATTTTTTCTAACGAAAAATAAAGCTATTAAACTATATGCTTATTGAGTGATTAAAAATCACATAAAAGACAAAACAAAAAATAGATGTTGGTGTCGTTTGTG